AAAAAAAAAACCAAAACAACGTAAGGTCTAATAAGGACCACAGATTTCACAGAATGAGAAATGAACCTTGAAACTAAAGTAGACTTGAAATGACTTACGACTGATAGTGCACCCCTGTTGCCAGGTCTGACTCACAGTGACCCCAAGGGCAGGTAGGTTATGGTCTCCCACAGGTTTGCCAAGGGTGGAAATTTTTATAGAAACAGACTGCAGTCATTTCTTCCCACCTGTGAAGTGACTGGTGGGTTTAAACCACCAACCTTTTGGTTACGAGTCAATCACTTAATCACTACACTATAAGGGCTGTAGGCCCAGATATCCTGAGTGAGTCAGCACATTGCCTTCTTATTGCTCCTTATATGTGAGCTAAATAGAATGTTAAAAGGGGCATCTATTGTTTCATAACTTCAGCTCAATTCAAAGTGAGGGCAATGAATTATACTTCCACATATTCTAAGGAGCAGTTCCATTATGCAGGGCTTTCTAAGGGTGGGCCAACTAATCTTAAGTAAGTATCCCAGCACAGGAAACAGAAAGAAGACAAATTTTCAATGAAGCTACCTACAATCAGCCAAGTGTATACGCCACAGCATGACATAATAGGATACACATATACAAATGTAGGCTACAAGTATTCCTTACCACTGATAACTTATAGAGAGCTCCAGTGGCCTAGTGGTTAAGGAGTTGGGCTGCCAACCCAGAGGCTGCTGGTTCACATCCACCAATGGCTCTGTGGCAAAGATGGGTGATATGCAGCCACTGAAAACTCCTTGGAGGGTCAGCTTCGAGTCATTTTCAGCTGGACAGCAGTGAGCTGAGTTGAGCTCAAGCCCAAATTCACCCGTTTCTTTGCTAGCTGTTCAATACCTGAAAGTATCTGTGGTCAGCCAGGGCCTTTTGCGGGTTATCCTTGCTGGGGTCATCGTCCTTCTTTTCTGAGTCCTCAGACTTTTTTTGGCTGATCAGCTCCCGTAATCTAAATGGGGGGAGAGGGGAGGAGTCAGGTAAAACAGAAGACTTTCTCGATTAAAATGAAAAATGGTACCAATGTTCCAGCCATCTCTCACCCAACATCTCAGAATGAGAACACACACACACACACACACACACACACACAATTAAGCCATAAAGACATAAGTGATCATACTGAAGATGATTCTAATCACCCCCAATCATCATAAAAAAAACCCCCAAACCAACCCCAAACAAACAAAAAACATAGACGCATAGAAGGGAAATGTAGCACAGAATAGGAATAGCTTAGCTCCAACTAAGATAAATTAGTGGCAAAGGGCAGGGCAATTGGTCTGGGTATCATAACAAAAAAACCCAAGTGATCTCGGTCCCTTCATCTTCATGCCCTGCTTATGCCACGGAGCAGGGAACACTAACGCCTGGGGCCAGCCAAGGACTGTGGAGATCCAGAGAGACCACTGTCCCAGGATGCAACAGAAACTCCAGGGGGAAAGAGAGCCCCTTTTCCCAGAAACATGCGTATGAGCATATCCGTTTGTGATTTCCACATATGTTTACAGACAAAACTGATTTTCATGCAACTCAGATTCATAGGTTTTCCTTCAAACTATTAATTTCATTTTTCTGACATTAATTGCAATACCCAGAATGGAACAACTACACTCTTCCCGAGCCTGCTGAGTATTCATTCGTTTTTCAGAGTCAGGAAGGGTAAAAGTGGTGGACAGAAATGGCCCGTTCCATTCACTGTGGTACTGCTGGCTTTATAAAGTGATGAGGCCATGTATTATTCACGTCATGATCAACATCCACAACATCTGACGTCTATTACTCCTGCTTTCATTGATAACGTGCAATCCGTCTCTTATCTCTGGCTTGTGCTGTTGGCCAAGAACAATGGGTCTCATATAATAGCCAAAAGAACAGACACATCTCTCTTGGAAGAAGTGTAGCCACGAGGCGCCTTAGAAGACCCCGCTACTCACGGTGTGTTATCAGGAGAGGACGGTTCTGGAAGAAGGACACCAAACTCAGAAAAGTGGAGGGTCAGTGAAGAAGAGGACGATTCTCAATGAGAAAGACTGAGACAGCGGCGGGAGCAATGGACTCACATACAGTGATTGTAAACATGGCACAGAACCAGACAGTGTCAGATTCTGCTGACACTGGGTTGCTGAGTAGGAAACAATGTGATGGCCTCTAACAACAACATAGACTCCTCGGTGACTTCCGAAGGTCATGTTCTAGCTAAATTCCATACCCTTTATTACATCAGGCAAGGTCTAGTTCAAGGTCTCATTTAACAGAAACGTATATACCCTCACCCAGTATAAGGGGAAACAACTTCTTGAAAACTGGGGAGGCAGAGAGAACCGCTTTAAAAGTGTCATTTCCTCCATCAATCTGGTAATTCTAAACCAAAGCAACCGGTAAGCAGCCTGAGGTAAGATCACAGGCAATAAAATAAAAATAAAGTTATTGTTAGCTGCTGGCCACTTAGACCAATAGTGACCCTACCACCCAAAACAGTTTAAAACCTTGCTCGATCCTGTGCCATCTTCAAGTCCTTGCTACATTTAAGCCCATTATGGAATTCACTGTGTCAATCCATCTCACTGAGGGCCTTCCTCTCTTTTGCGAACCTCCCCTGATACTCCAAGAACAATGTCATTTCCCAAGGACTGGTCCCTCCCGAAATAATAAAACAACATCCTAAAACAGAGGGACAATTTTGGTTAAATAGAATTATTGGTTATATAGAATTACTTCATGTTCTTCTTAACGGCTTTCTCCAATTTCTTCACTTGTTGTTTATACAGTCTTAATTCATGCTGTGTGGGCCTGTAAAAAAGAAATCATGTTGAGTGCATTCAATTTACAAAATAAGACTATAAAAGTTTGGTGTTTTATTTTTTTAAAACGTCCACAGGTAGCGGTGCTGTTGACACAATGGACACACTTCACGTATGGTTCAAATCCACTAGCAGCTGCTTCAGAGAAAGATGGGCAATCTCCTCCGGTGCAATTTACAGCCTCAAAAGCCGCGGAGAGGCAGCTACGAGTTGATTCCTATTTGGCAGCAATGAGTTTGAGTCTTGTTATTTGTCAGAAGCATGAAAATTCTTGAGGGTTTTTTTTTATGACTATAAGTCAAGGCATTTTATTTACTGGCCATTTGTATTCCTTCTGGGTATTCTCTTTTCAAAACTCTACACAATTTTGTTTTTGTTAATCTTTTACTTGGTTTTTACAGCAAAACATTTCAAATAATACATAGAAAATATTAAAACAAGTACTAATCTGTCTACCATCTAATGGTATAAAATTTTAACATTAAAACATTTGCTTCAAATTTTTTTTAAAAATACTTTAACACACTATAATTGTACTTGAAACTCTAGTGACTAATTAAAGTCATTATTGTATCTCAATTTAAAAAAAAATACTTTAAAGCACTATAATCGTACTTGAAACTCTAGTCCCTAATTATTAAAGTCACTATTGTATCTCACACCACAGGTGAAGTCAGTGTTCATTAGAGCCACGTATCCTTTAAAACTTAAGTACATGTGAGTGGTGTTGCTAAAGAGTACTAAGTATCTCATGGGCTACCAAAAGATGGAACAAATACACGTTAGAGAAAGTGCAGCCAGAACACTCCCTAGAAGCAAGGATGGTGAGAATTCATCTCATATACTTTGGGCTCATTATTAGGGGGGGCTAGACCTTGGGGAAGGACATCATGCTTGGAAAGGTAGAAGGTCAGAGAAAGAGAGGAAGACCTGCAACAGGACGGAACTATACAGTGACTGTAACAATGGGTGACTGTTACAATGATACAGTGACCGTAAAAAAGTATATCAGAGATGGGGAGCGTGGCACAGGATAGAAGAGGGATCAGATCTGTTGCTCACAGGTTCACTGTGAGATACAGTGGACTTGATGACTTGTAACCACAAACACCTATTTATACAGAATGTTACATATTATTTTGTGGCAGAGTTTAAATTATTATGTAACTACTGGTCCTCTCGTAACAAAAATTTCATAAGAATAAAATTTATCCCAGAGCTTATACTGTTGTTGTTGTTGTTGTGCATCATCAAGTCAAGTTCAACTCCTAACAGATCCTCTGGCAGGTTTTCAGAGGCAGTAAATTGCACAGGAGGAAACTGCTCATTTTTCTCCTAAAGAGCAGCTGGTGCATGTGAACCATGTACTTCAGACGACATTACAATGTCTCATGAAACCCTCATTGTGTATTGCTTTTCCCTTCACTCAACTACCTATTAAAGATGATGTGAAGAATTAGAAATTAAAATCATGAGCCCTAGATAATCACAATAATTCAGGACTGTTGATGCTACAGTTAATAGGCTGTGGTGTCAGAAACCTTGGAAACTGGCTTTTCTCTCCATTGCATTAGTCCCCGTTGAGGGCATAGTCTCCAGCTGCCTAAACTGTGCAAATCATCAACAGCTGTGGGATCAATATAAGAAAGCACTTTCCACACTGTGAAAGATGGTTGTGAAGGTGAGGAGACAGTGGCACTGCTGAGAAAAAACTGTGGCAAGGTGTAAACCAGAGGAACCCTGAAGATGGAGCCACAGTTAAAAGATTTTTCTTGGTTAATGACTGAAGGAAGAGCTAACTTACAAGTGCTCTGAGATAAAGTTTGCTAGATGGTTAAAGTAACTAGAGGCTTCTTGCATTTGTGCTGCTGAACTGAACCTGAACTTTCAAAAAGTGAGGAACTATGTCTTGCTGTCAATCTGGCTTAGGACTGCTGGACTAAACCTGGACTTGCACATGTGATATTCTTTGCCTCCCCTACACCCCAACATATTTCCCTAATAAACTCCACAACTTTGAGGGAAGTCCATCAATTTGTAACTAACATTGGAAGCAATGATTGGTAGAAATAGGTGCAGAGCATGTGGGGTGGCATGTTCATGTAGTTACTTGTTTAGTACTACAGATATTATTGATGGGGATTGTTCTCCTTTATTTATGAAGCAAGCAGAAGTCAGACTCAGCCACCTTCACACTGCATCTGCTCCTTTTTCCTTATTTGAAAACAGGTTCTTTCTTAAACATAATGAAGACACTGGACAGTAAGCTGGATCCTAACACCTTTGGAATGGAATTGTTAAAAAGGGAGAGCAAGCATAAGAGGAACAATGTCATGTGAAGATTCATCTACAAATCAAGAAATGCAAAAAAGACACTTAGGAAACGTAAGATTAAAAAGACAAGCAGGTTCTTCCCTTTGAGGAGACAGACAGAGTGTCGCCTGGCCAATGCCTTCAGTGTGAAATCCTTACCTCCAGAACTATGAGACACTAAATTTCTGATCTTTAAAGCCACCTGCCTTGTGGTATTCTGGTACAGCCATCGTGGGAAACTAAGATGACTGTATAAATGTATATACCTTCTTTGTTGTATGGCCTATTTTTACTTCTTCTCCTGTACCACAAATATTAAACAAGTAAACCTAAAATATTTTAGGAACGGGAAGCCTGTTGGCAAAATACTGAATCTACAGAGTCACCTTCTATTTCTATCTTCCTCTCTGTTGTACATATTTCTCACTTCCTTTGCCAAGCTACCTGCTCTTGTTCCTTTTATCCTATATCATGAAACATAACTGGCCAGAAGGAACATAAGATCATAGGCTTCTTAAAATTAATTTAACAGTTAAGAATGATCCATTTGACATCTCAAATCCCAGCATGTTTTCAAAAAAAGAAAGAAAGACGGACTTAAGTTCCTCTCACCTGCTTTCTAAATCTTTTTGGAGGCTCAGCTTTTCACTTAAAAGTACGTCAATCTTGGCTTTTGATTCCTGAAGTTGAGTTTGTAAAGACTGAAACAGATTTCAGAGAAAGTATAATTAACTTTCCTAGGAGGCATTTCTTAATATTATAAGAGAATGTTTTCAAGTTATGTCCTTCTACCATGCCCCTTTCCGTTACCGTTGTTGTTGTTATGTGCCGTCAAGTCACTTGCGACTCATAGCGACCCTATGTACAACAGCCCTAAACCCTGCTCTATCCTGTGCCAATCTCACTGTCTCTGACACTCCCATCCCGACTAGCCCAGTCATTGAATCAATCCACCTCACAGAGGGCCTTCCCCTCCTGCACTGTCCCTCCACCCTCCCAAGCATGATGTCCTTCTCCAAGGACTGGTCTCTCCTCACAACATGTCCAAAGTATGTTAGACGGAGCCTCAGAATCCTTGCCTCCAAGGAGCCACCCGGTTTAACCCTTTTCAGGACAAATCTGCTTGTTTTCCTAGCAGTCCATGGTATTCTCAATACTCTTCTCCAGCACCACAGCTCAAAGGCATCAATTCTCCTTCTATCCTCCTTGGTCATTGTTCAACTCTCTGATGCATAACAAGTGATTGCAAAGACCATGGCCTGTATCAGACGCACCTTAAGTTTCCAGAGAGACTCCATTGCTCTTCAGCACTTTGGAGAGGTCCCTAACAGCAGACTTTCCCATGGCAATGTGTCTTTTAATTTCCTGGCTACTGGTGCCAAGAGTATTGACTGTGGAGCCAAGCAAACTAAAGCTGTGTACAATCTCAATCTCTTCACCATCCATCCTGATGCTGCCAATTGGTCCAGTGGTGAGAATCTTACCATTAGAAGGCCTTTATAATTTGGTGAGGCATCCAGGCTTCTGTAGTCTTTTTCTTCTTCCGACTGACTTTCGTCGTCTTTACATGGTCTACAAAAAAGGTATATGCACTGTACTTCTTAAGATAAATGTATCATCAAAGGGGGGGAAATCATCAAAATCTTAACAACACTCCAACACAAACTTTGAAAACTTTATGTGAAAGAAGCAGCCATAGTTATGATTCTACATATATGAAATGTAGGCAAATCTAACAAAGAGAAAGTAGACTACTCATGTATGAGATTGGAGTAGAGATAGAGAAAAATAAGGAGAGAATGCTAATAGATGCATTCTAACTGGGATGATAAAGATGTCCTGAAGCTGACTATAATGAAACTGACAGGATGCTGGATTAATTAAAAACCATTACATTGTACAGTTGTGGTGCTGGAGAAGAGCACTGAATACCCCATGGACTGCCAAAAGAACAAACAGATATGTCTTGGAAAACGTATAGTCAGAGTGCTCCTTGGAGGCAAGGATGGAGAAGCTTTGTCTCACATCCTTTGGGTGTGTTGCTAGGCATGGCTAGTCCTAGGAAAAGGGTATCATACTTGGAAGGGCTGAGGTTCAGCAAAATCAAGGAAGACCTTCAACCAGGTGGATTGACACAGTGACTGCAGCTACGGGCTCAAGTCTGTTAGCTTTGAGGAGAACAGCAGAGCATAGGCCAGGGTTCAGATCTCTGTTTTCAATGGGGCTGTTATGAGTTGTGCTCAACTTAATGGTGTCTAATAGCAGCAATAACAAATTGTACACTTCAGAGGGTGATTTTATGATACATGAGCTATAGATCCCAATAAGGCATTTATTATTATTATTGTTATTCATTTTAATGAAAATTTACAGAGATTTTGGATTTCCATTCATTCATTGTTGCACTTTTCTCCCTGTTCCCCCCTGCCCCCTTCTGTTCATTCTTCTCTTTAAAAGTAAAAGAAAAATTCTTTCCTTGTTATACAATCCCTTCCCCCAAGTCAACTCTATTATGCAGCCTTTGTTCTGGACTCCTCTCATGACAATAATACCCAATCACATATCCCTTTTAAATAGTTTTCTCCCTCATTTGTTTCAATGCAGTATACATTATTGAACCCATCTTTCTCAGTCTCCCCCCAACCCCTGTCAGTCCCATTTTACAGCAGTGGCACCATGCAGTATTTGTCCTTTTGTGACTGAGATACTTCACTCAGCATAATGTCCTCCAGAGTCACCCATTTTGAATACTATTGCATGAGTTCCTTGGTTTTTCAATGCGGCGTAGTATTCCATTGTGTGAATATACCACAGCTTCTCTATCCATTCATTTGCTGATGGGCACTTATGTTGTTTCCAACTCTTTGCTATTGTGAACAAAGCTGCAATAAATATGAGTGTGCATATATGTACTTGGGTGGCAGTTATGGTGTCTTTGGGGTACATTCCCCGTAGAGGAACTGTTGGGTCAAGTGGTCTATTTGCAACTTTTTGAGAAAGCGCCATACCGCCTTCCACAGTGGTTGCACCATTTTATACTCCCACCAACAGTGAATGAGGGTTCCAGTTTCTCCGCAACCTCGCCAGCATTTGTTACTTGCTTTTCTGTTAAATTTTCCCATTCTTACTGGGGTGAGATGGTATTTCATAGTAGTTTTCGAATAAAGCATTTCTTTGCATTGAGCACATTTGTAGCTAAGATCTCTTAAAGTGATAACAAAGTGAGGATATCACTTTGGGATCTCAGGTACAGCTGGCCCAAGCATAGTCACTATAATCACTTTATGATTCATCAATGGGAAAGCCAGACAATGAGAAGGAAGATCAAAGAAGAAGTGATGTGTTTCAATTCTTGTCCTGATGAGGACTATGGAACGGAATGCCAGAAGAATGAAGGAATCTGTCCTGGAAAGGTACAATCAGCAAGTTCTTTAGAAGTAAGAATTGTGGGCTTTCATCTCACATACTGTGGATGTGTTATCAGGACACTGTTATCGATCACTAGAGAAGGGTATCAGGCTTAGTGAAGCAGAATTAAATGAAAGAGAGGAAGATTCTCAATAAGATGTATCAACACAGCGATGACAACAATGGCTTCATATATACCGATGACGACAACGGTTGTACCGGACCAGGTGGTGGTCTCTTCTGATGTACACAAGGCATTGACTCAACAAAGCCTAACCAGAACAACAAAGTTGTTATTTATAAAAAGTTATTTGGTGTACACCAGGGATGTGTTCTATCTCCATACCTTTTCAATCTATATGCAGAACACATTATCCAAGAGGCTGGGCACTATGAGAAGAAATGTGGCGTCAGGATTGGAGGAAGAGTCATTACCTATCTGCGTTATGCAGATGACATAACCCTGCTTGCTGAAACAGAGGAGGATCTGAAGAGCTTGGTGCAGAAGGTCAAGGACTGCAGCCTTCAATATGGATTGAAGCTCAACATCAAGAAAACAAAGATTCTCATCAGTCGGCTGACTGGCAGCATCATGATGGATGGTAAAGAGATTGAAGATTGTTCACAGCTTTAGTCTGCTTGGCTCCACAATCAACACTTTTGGCACCAGCAGCCAGGAAATTAAAAGATGGATCGCATTGGGAAAGTCTGCTGTCAGAGACCTTATGATCTTTGTAATCACTTGCTATGCATCGGAGAGTTGACAATGACTAGGGATGACAGAAGGAGAATTTGAGCAGAGGTGCTGAAGAAGAGAATTACATGGACTGCTAAGAAAACAAATAGATTTATTCTAGAGAGGGTGAAAGCAGGCTGCTCCTTGTAGGCAAGGATTCTGAAGCTTTGTCTGATATAGTTTGGACATATTGCAAGGCAGGATCAGTCCTTTGGGAGGGATGTCATGCTAGGGAGGGTGGAGGGACAGTGCAGGAGAGGAAGACCCTCAATGAGATGGACTGATTCAGTGACTAGGGTAATGAGGGTAGGCGTGTCAGAGACAGTAAGTTTGGCATAGGATAAAGCAGGGTTCAGGGCTGTTATACCTAAGGGTCACTATGAGTCACAAGTGACTCAACGGCACATAACAACATTTGATTATGACACGTCAGGTTGAAGAGTTCCACTGTCTCAGTCTGTAGTGAAAGGTAAAGACTTCCTTTGAGGAACTCTATCCACCGGCTACATAGATGTGCTGGTATAATCTGAAGCAAGCTGCAAAAGAGACGGTGCTTCTTTCCCTGTGAGGATCTACCGGCTTGGACCCCTGATGAAGGACCGCTATGAATCAGAAATGATTCAGCAGCATCACATGAGCAATCCTTCAACTCATCTCTAAATTTGGCAGCAGGCGTGGCATCCACTTCCTAAACAACACGCCTCTGGAAACTCTATGAACTTTGAGAAATGACGATAGTTAGAGAAAGGCTTCAGGCCTTTTGTTCAGAGGGTCGCCATGAGTCGTGCTCGACTCGACGGCAATCAACACCACCACCGGCTCTAAGTGTCGGACTGTGAAGGAGGTCTGGAGGCCCTGTGCAACCACATCCAGCTGTGTCCTAACCGAATGCCTCTTCCCTTTCCAAGGGCAGTACTGAGCCCACACAGTGACTGTAGCGATGGGCTCAAGGGCATCAGAGCTGGTGAAGACCACGCTGGACAGAGGGAGGCTCAGACGGTTTGTTCACAGCGTTGCCGAGTCGTGGCAGACGTGATGGTGTCTAACAACAATACTGAGGCCACGTGGGAAAGATGACGAAGACCAAGCGAGGACAATGGCCAATTTCCTTGAATAAACATCAGACACAGGAGACCACAATCCTTTTTGGCTACTGTGACTTGGCCATTGTGCCTTACTGGAAAATCTTTCAATGATGACGGTGATGAAGTGTGCGGAGATGCATGGGTGCAATATTAGAGCTAAAGACGGTAAGACAGAATGAAGGACCTGGGAAAACAGAGGCAGAAAGGGAGGGCAGAGGGGGAAAGGTGAGGGTTTCCAGCAAAGAGATTAGTTATTGGTCCCACGAAGACACGGCTTCTAAAAGCAGCTCCATCACCAAAAAAAAAAGTTGTTGCCAAAAAAAAGAAAAGTTTTGAGGGAGCTCTGGTGGCCTACTGGCAAGAAGCTGCACTACAATCATAGAGGTATACGGTTCGAATCCACCAGATGCTCTGCTGGAGAAGTCTCCTGTACCAGTCAGATCCAATTTGACGGTTGTTGTTGTTATGTGCCGTCGAGTCATTTGCGACTCATAGCGACCCTATGTACAACAGCCCTAAACCCTGCTCTATCCTGTGCCAATTACATTGTCTCTGACACACTCATCCCGATTACCCCAGTCACTGAATCAATCCACCTCATAGAGGGCCTTCCCCTCCTGCGCTGTCCCTCTACTCTACCCAGCATGATGTCCCTCTCTAAAGACTTGTCTCTCCTTACGACATGTCCAAAGTATGTCAGACGAAGCCCCAGAATCCTTGCCTCCAAGGAGTAGCCACACAAAAAATAATAAAATAAAACAAATTTTAAAAAAAAGTTTTGTTGCTTAAAAAGACAACATGTCAGTAATCTTATAAGAGACTGTATGTACACCAAGCAATCAATAGTTAGAAACTAGGATGAAGACTCTTAAAAGGAGACCAGGCTGAATGCATATAAAGTTGATTTGCATCTAATTATTGGTGAGATCCACGCCTTCCCTGTCTTCCCTTGTACTTCTGTGTTCAGATGTTTCAGTATTATTTTGGCAAGAGTGTCCAAAGAATAAATCAAAGAATTACAGCAAGCACAGTATTGTCCCCAGAACGCATAAATGTTGTTCCTGGTCCATCTGTAATAGCTGAATTATTTTCCCATTCACAATGTTAAAACAATAAAACTTGCACTTACAGGGGGAAAAAAACCCTGAAACTGTCTATGTACCAAAGTAAGCTGTTGTTAGGTGCCATCAAGTTGATTATGACTCAGAGTAACCCTACAAACAACAGATAAGAAACCTGCCCCATCCCATCCCATCCCATCCCATCCCATCCAATCCCATCCTATCCCATCTTCTGATCTCTGGTGTGTTCAAGCCCATGGTTAGAGTCACCGTGTCAGTCCACCTGGTTGCGGGTCTTCCTCTCTCTTCCTCTGACCCGTCTCCGTTCCAGGGACAGGTCCCTTCCGACAACGTGCACCAAGTATTTGAGACGAAGCTTCCCCATCCACGCCTCGAAGGAGCACGCTGGTTGTACTTCCTCTAAGACACATCTGTTTGCTTCCTTGCCAGTCCACAGGATATGCGGAACTCTTACCCAACAACACAGCCCAAAGGCCTTAATTCTTCTGGCATCCTTAGTTATTGTTCAACTTTCAGGTACACAAGAAATAATTGCAAAGACCAAGGGCGTAGGATACTGAAAATTTCAAAAGGCTGCAAAAATCTATCCACCTGGATCGCATGCCTGAATAATTAACATCAAAATCTGTAATACAGAATTAATCATACCTTTGTTGTTGGATTTTTCTGATTTTAGATTCATAATAATCAATCAAGGAAAGCAACCTAAAAAAACAAATATTAACACATATTTTTAAAATACTGTATTAGAGCACTTATTATCCTCTGTAATTTCAAATTCCGATGATATAAGTAGTAACTGATTACCAGGTGGTGCTGTGTTGGGTACTGTAGAACTGGAACCAACCCATATAGCTGATCCTCCCGTGCGTTTTCAGAGGCACGGGAGGAAAATGCCCATTCTTCTCCCGCAGAGCAGCTGGTGGCCTTGAACTGTGTGCCTTCAGGATTGCAGCACAGCTTCTTGCCACTAGGCCAAGAAGTATACGACATCAAATGTTTTATAGATTTCTGGGTGAAAGGAAGATGGCAGCCTAGATATATGGCAGCCCAGATCCTCTATAACAAAGACGCTACAAAACAAAGATAACAGATACAGACGATTCTAGAAACACGAGTTTAAAAAGAAAACAAAGTACTTCCTATGCCAGCTGAAGGTAGAAACTGAATGGAAAGATCAAATAAGGTGACAGATGGAGCACAGGACTGTCAACAGGGCAGATCTGCCATTCTGAACAGCTGTCTGTTGTGTGGGATTCCCAGGTGGCTACACCAGAGATGTGCTGATCTCAATAAAGACGGCAGCAGTATCCCATCTCTCTCTCTGTGTCACACACACACACACACACACACACACACACACTCAGCAACCGTTTCCATCAGGTAAGGCGAAAGAACAGCTCTTGTTCTACCAGTCAATGAAAGGCTGTAACCAACAGCGACCCAGCCTGCCCTCAACTGCTCTGTACACACTAGCGACGAGAAATTGTAAAGGAAAAATAGGGAAACACTTTCATTTGGAATAGCATATAAGAGAATAAAATGTTAACGAATAATTCTTACCAGGAATATGAAGGACTTAAACAAGGGGGTGGGGAGGGGAGAACCCTAAATCCTATAAAGCATTTCTGAAAAAGAGAAACAGTGATTGAAATAAATGGAAAGATGTTCCATGTTCCTAGATTGAAAGATGCAAGATTGCTAATTAAGATGTCTGTACTGCCCAAGGGAACTCTGGTGGCCTAGTGGCAAGAAGGTGTGCTGTAATCCCACAGACATGTGGTTCAAATCCACCAGCTGCTCCTCAGGAGAAAGAGGGGTAACCTCCTCCCACGTGATTAACTGCCTCTGAAAACCCACTGGAAGGGCAGCTTGAGTCAGTTCCAACGTAACAGCACGCAACGAGATTAGTAAATCAAGACAAGAACACCAATGAAATAGAAGTGAGAGTCTAAAGGCAAAACTACACATCCATGGTCTACTGATGTTTACAGAGGTGCCAAGTCCATACAATGGGAAAAGAAGAGCTGCTTAAACAAATGTTTGAAAAATTGGATTTCTACATGCAGAAACAGAAAAAGGATCCAGGTCTCACGCCATACATAAAAATAAATTCAAAACAGATCAAGGACCCAAATGTACAAATTAAAACAATTAAATTATTAAGAATGAGCAAGGGCAATGTTTTGAAGTCTAGCTTTTTTAAAAGTGATTTACCTAATGTAAGAACGAAATAAGAGGAGGATATGGAATATGTGACTAAATGGCTCCATGAACAACTAACTGCGTCCTTTATCATGAAATAAGAGAACTAGATGATGTCTGTCTACCGTCATTTAACCTGTTGGTCAAAGAACCTATAGGACAATCCTGATCAAAAGGGGGTAAATGTAGAACAGAATTTGGTATTCTAATGGACTAGATCATTTTCTTTCCCTTGGGTGTACAATCAACACCCATTGAAGCTGCAGTCAAGAAATCAAAAGATAAGTTGCACTGGGAAATCTGCTGTTGAGGAAGCTAAAGTGCTAAAGAGTAGTAAAGAAGTAAGTTTAAAGACTAAGGTGTGTCTAATCCAAGCCACAGTATTCTCATTTGCTTTGTATGCATCTCTAAGTTAAACAATGAATAAAGATGATTAAGGAAGAGCCAATGCCTTTGAACTATGACGCTACAGAAGAAGACTGAATATTCTATGGACTGTCAAAAGTACATGCAAATCTATGTTGGAGGAAGTGGAACCAGGGTGCTCCTTAGAGCCAAGAATTGTAAAATTTTGTCTCCCACACTCTGGGCATGTTTTAGGAGGGGCCATCCCTCAGAAGAAAACATCACGAAGCAGAAAGGCACAGGGTCAGAGAAAGAGAGGAAGACCCTCAACCAGATAGCCTGACAGCATGACTATAACAATGGCCTTGAGCACAGATCACGAGGAAGGCATCAAATACGGCAAGTTTCTAATCGGTGGGTCATGGTGGTGCTGTGAGCTGCAGTCCAGTCGTTGGTGCCCAACAACCACAACAAACTTCCTGGAGCCATAAAGGGTAAAACTTCAGAAACTATTGTCCTCAAACATTTAAATCTTTAATTACTGAACCAAAAATATTCCCTGAAGTCTTCTTAAAAATAAACATTGTTTTAAAACCATTTCAGGGAATATTTTTGTGGGGAGGCATTGTACAACAATAAAAGAATCTCTTTTTTACTTTTTAAAAGAGTGAACAGGGGGGGTGGGGGGGGAGGTGGGCAGGGAGAAAAGTGTAACAGAACATCCGAAGTCTCTGTAAATTTTCATTAAAATAATTTAAAAAATTATTCAATGCAGATTCCATGGACTAAAACAAAACCAAAACCAAAACAAAAAAAAAACCCAAAACCCCAAACATTAGTTTATTTAACTAATGGGAAAGTGTCTGCCTTGAGCATGGTGTTCTTTTAAGATATGGGATCAATGGAATTCTGGTGGCTGGAGTGGTGAGTTATTAACCAAAAGGTCAGTGGTTCCCATACACTAGCTGCTTTGGAGGAGAAAGACAGACAGTCATCTTTCACTAAGATTTACAACCTCACAAATCTGAGGGCGGGGGCATTATGAGTTAAAATCCACTCGATACAGTAGTGAGTGAGAGAGGGATCTACGATCAAACTGGTATGTTGTTGTTGTTGTTGTTGTTATGTGCCGTCGAGTCGCTTGCGACTCATAGCGCACTCGAAAAATTAAATATAAACTTACAGGGCACTAAAATGATAGTAATGAGGGAGGAGAATCTCAGAAGAGGAGGATGAGAATGATTGCACCAGTTACATATAATCAAGGTCACCAATTATATATGTTGGGGGGGTGGTGGTTGTTAGGTGCCATCGAGTTGAGTACAGCTCATAGTGACCCTCTGGACAACAGACAGCACCCTGACCTGTCCCGTGCCATCCTCATACTTCCTGACACGCTGGAACCCACTGCCGCCTTCTTCTCACAGAAGTTTTGATCTGCACATTTCCCTACATGGACAATGTGATGCTACAGGAAAGTGCTGAAGGTCCCATGGACTGTCAAAAGAACAAACAGATTCGTCTTGGAGAAAGCCCACTCAGAATGCTTGAGAAGGAGCAAGGACAGCGAAGCTTCGTCTCATGCATTTGGAGGATGTTGCCGTTACATGCCACTGAGTTGAGTGCGACTCACAATGACCCTGTGAACAAAAGATGTGAATCCTGTCCTAGCCTCAAAATCTCTGCTACATTTGAGCCCACTGTTGCCTTCACTGTGTCATTCAATTTCTGGGGGGGGGAGGGGGGTCTTCCTCTCTTTCACCAACCCTCCACACTTCCAAGCATGAAGCCCTTTTCCAGGGAATAGAGTCTCCTAGCAACATGTCCAGAGTATGAGGGAAGACGCTTTACCATCCATGCCATCCAGGGAGCACTCTGGCTACACCTTTTCCAAGACCTATCTGTTCATTCTTTTGGCCGTCCATGGGCTGTTCAACACTCTTCTCCAACACGACAGCTCAAAAGGCATCAATTCTTCTTCTGTCGTCCTTTTTCATTGTCCAGCTCTCAGATGTATAGCAAGTAACTGAAAAGATCATGGCCTGAGTTTGGGCGCATCTCAATCTTCAAACCGCTATCATGTTCTTCAATATTTTGGTGAGGTCCCTGACAGAGGACTTACATCTCCTTATGGCCTAACTGTTGGTACTAAGGGTGTTGACTGTGGATCCGAGCAAGAGGAACGAATTAACAGTTTCAGTCCTTTCCCCATCTAGCATGATGCTGCCCACTGAAGGAAGACCTTCAACGAGATGGACAGTGACTGCAGCAATGGGCTCAAGTATGCCAGAGATGATGAGCACGTTACAATCAGGTGTCAAGATCACATTTGTTCTTCACAGGGTTGCTGTGAGTCATACTTGACTTGACAGCATTTAACAGCCACCACCACTGATCAATCTTCGTATCTCCAAAAGTGCATCAACAAAACTTGACAAGATTCCAGATGCATTAAAATAGCAAAAAACCTTGTATTTGCCAAAAAGACTCAAATGGAGTACTAACTGCTAGGAAGTATGGAGAAAACAAGTTACATGATGCAAAGAGAAAATAACCGGCAAATGGAGAATGTGAGACCTTCTCCAAGAAAACACAACAACTTCTTCAATGAGCCAGTAGACAGGGACAGAGAAAAGGCAGGGGGCCTTGGGTGCTCCACTCTATAAACAGTGTTACTATACTGTTATATAACAGTGGAGCTCAGGTGGCCTAGTGGCAAGAAGCTGTGCTGCAATCCCAAGGCACGCGGTTCAAGGCCACCAGCTGCTCTGAGAGAGAAGGAAGGGCAATCTCTGCTCCCCGTGCGATTAACTGCCTCTGAAAACCCACTGGACAGTCAGCTATGGGTGAATTTCAATGCAACAGTACACAACAACAACAACAACGACATTACTATCCCCAGGACGAAAGGTTTTTAACCCCCAAATCAAACACATGATGTACAGAGCTACTTATTCACTGATGTCCAATACTTACTGTCTATCCAAAATACTGTGAGGAACCCTTTTACAGAGGTAGGCAAATACTTTGTTTTGAGTGACAATGCGCTCTTCTTCATCTTTTGTTAATCGATAGATAGTCTTTTGCAAAGAAGCAATAGTCTCTTGCTGCTCCATTCGCTTTTTCTTATAATGCTGGCATTTTGCCTGTAAAAAGAGACATAATTATGACATGTTATGTTCTTTTCAGCTCTTGTGGCCTAGTGGCAAGAAGCTGTGCTGCAATCCCAAAGGCACGCGGTTTGAGGCCACCAGCTGTTCTGCGGGAGAAGGACGGGCAATCTCCTCCCGTGCGATTAACTGCCTCTGAAAACCCACTAGAGCTTCAGCTATGGGTTGGTTCCGATTCTAGGGAACACAACAACAATGTATGTGTCTCTCGGGAGCTCTGAAGGCCTAGCAGTAAGAAACTGAGCTGCAATCCCAAAGGCACGTGGTTTGAATCCACCAGCTGCTCTGCAGGAGAAAGGACAATCCTCTCCTGTGTGATGTACCGTCTCTGAAAACACACTGGAGGGTCAGCGATGGGTCAGTTCCAACTAGACAGTACACAACAACGACAATGTATCTACCGAGGGCATTCTGTCCTTATAATATTTATTATACACAAGTACAGGTTCAGAGTCTATCTCGTGGTTTCAGTCAAGAATTTCAGTATTGAAGCTCTTTGCAAATGGGTTCAAGCTCTAAAAAAGATCAATAAATAACAAGTAAAAAAAAAAGTAACAAGTAACATGTGACGGATGTAGTTCTATATTGCAGACATTCAACAGTGAAAGCACTCAGTCACACGGCACCGACTCTGAGTGCCGGTGAGCCCACATACGTCACGGTAATACCACCCCATGGCAAGGGTCTCGGGGGCCTCTTGGTGAACACACGGCTTCACCTTTCTTGTTAGCAAGTGAGTGAGTGTCCTTGCAGGGGTTCCACAACCAGTAAAGGAGTCAAATACTCCTAAAAGTAATTAAAAAAAACACACACACACACACACAACACTCCATTTATTAATTTGTCTTTGAGTGGAAGTTTACAAACCTTATTGGTTTTCATTCAAGCATTCATACAAACTGTTTTACAACATTAATTACAACTGATTAATGTAATAACATGTTAGGGTGTCTGACGAAACTCTCATTGTATGTTGCCTTTCCCTTCACTCAACTACCTATTAAAGATGATGTGAAGACTCAGAAATTAAAATCATGATCCCAGAATAATCCACAATAAATCAGGACTGCTCACAAAACAGCCAATAGGCTGTGGTGTCAGAAACCTTGAAAACTTGCATTTCTCTCCATTGCATTAGCCCCCACTGGGGGCATGGTCTCCAGCTACCTACCTTAACTGTGGACACATGGTCTTGCAAATCATGAATAGCTGTGGGACTAATATAAGAGAGTGCTTTTCACACTGAGATGGATGGGGAGAGAGGGTGAAGAGGCTGAGGGATTTCTGGGAAGAGGGTGTGTGGCAAGATGTAAACAGAGGATCTTTGGAGACGGAGTTACAGTTGAGGTTTTGCCTGCTGGATGATGGAAGGAAACTCTGACTTGTAACTGCGCTGAAATCAAGTTTGCTGGATGACTGAGGCAATCAGAGGTGCATTTGTGCTGCTGACCTGAACCTAGACTTCCCTTTGTTGACAGAGAAGCTGTCTGAACTAAGGAATGCTATCTTGCTGTTAATCTGTTTTGGGATTGCTGGACTAAACCCAGACTTGCACTGTGAGCTATTCTTTGGCATCCATGCCATGTGGGAGGCTCATAGTGTACAGGCAGGGAGTTCTTGTTAAGACATCACCAACCTGTACAGTAATATTTACACAAAGAAATGAATACAAATACTGGATCCTCTTCTCCCTTATCTCTTCTGGTTTTCCCTTTTTCTTTGGTTTTTACATCTAATTGTCCTTGGGAACTCTACACTCATCCAGTATTCTCCCTCATGCCCCTATCTTCAGTTATCACTTAACTCAAAATTCATCTCCTTGCCGATACAGTGGAAATGACTCATGGCTGACCCCCCAGGGCTGTATATCACATGGGAGGAGATGGTCCATCTCTCTCCCATGGAACTGCTGGTGGATTTGAACTATCAGAGAGGTACAAACTTTGGGCTAGCAGGAACAATTTTGTACAGATTAGGCCCCCAGAACTTCCAATCCAAGTACAAATTTCCCCATATATCTGCAGAGAGCTTTCAGATCACACACTCAAGGACTTGACCCCTCCAACTTGACAGAAAATGTCTACCTCATTTTTCAAATTTTTATACTTTTCTTTATGCTCTAATATTTCTCTAGTAAGATGCTCTATTTTTATAATTATAAAAACAATAGGGAGCTCTGGTGGCCTAGTGGCAAGGAGCTGCAACTACAATCTCAGAGGCACACGGTTCGAATCCACCAGATGCTTTGCCGGGAAAAGGAGGAACAATCTCCTCCTGTACCAGTCAGATCTGATTTGACGGTACATTCACAGAAAAATAAAGAATAAAAAAATTATAAAAAAAAAAAACAAAAAACAAAACAATAAACTTCTACAGAGCTATAATTAGTCAAGGCAGGAAATCGAACGTTGGAACTCATCGGGATCATTTTCATTAATTAATCGGACTAAATTTTCCTCCTTGTCATTATCAGTATAATGGTATCACCAATAATAGTATCACTGATAGTATTAACGCTTTTCTAAAGTTCATCAAGAGCTGGCCATTACTAAGACATGTCCCTGTCTGGAGCAGGAAGCCTGTATCTGAGCACATGTTGACCTGTTACCCACACATCAAACATACTGACGCTCAGTGGTCCGCAGGGAGGAACGGGGACTCGGCCTCCAGTAATATCATCTCCTGGCAATCAGCAGCTGCGGCTGGAACTGACCCCTGCCTGAGTCTCACCCTGCTCTCAAACCTAGATAGGGACATTTGTGATCGGGTGTCGGGGCGCCAACCCACCTACATCTGGAAATTTGCTGCAAAACCTCAGGCAGCCTCCCTCTCAGCACCAGGGCTTGGCAGCCGTGAGGAGCACAGAGCCAGAGAGTTCGGCCATGAGCTTAACTCTGTTATGAAGCCTGAGACCTTGAGCCAGTCTCCGGACCTGCCCATGGCGTAGAGCTGCAATCTTGAAAATAAAAAGGGCATTTTGGTCACAGAATTATTCATAAAATCAAGAGAATCTGTACATCGTGTTGAGAATGGTGCCTGGCATACAGAAAATGCTCAGTAAATGTTAGCAACATCTGATGCCTTGGAGCTTTCATTTTCCCATCTTTAAACAGAAAAAAATAAAGGATACGTTGATTACTGACTAAGTAAAAATGGTTATTATTTCATTCCACAGCCAAAGAGAGGCCTGTGTCCAGACATTCACGGTAGACTCTACCTTTTTTTTCTTTTTAAATTTTCTTTTTATTTTATTATTTTTGTGTGTGTGTGTGTACCATCAAATCCGATCTGACTGGTACAGGAAGAGATAGTGATTGTCCCTCCTTCCCCGGCAGAGCATCTGGTGGATTCGAACCGTGTCACTCTGGGATTGCAGTGCAGTTTCTTGATTTTTTATGTTGTTCTGTACAATCGAGTCGAAACTGACTCATGGCTGACCCTCCAGCAGGTTTTCAGAGACAGGGGAGGATAGTCCACCTTTCTCCCCTAGAGCAGCTGGTGGATTCAAGCTGTGTACTTTTGCACAAGCAGTGCAAGTGCTCACAGGACAGGACAGGACAGGACAGGGTTCAGATCTGTTGTTCTTATGGTCGCCATGAATTGTACTCGGCGGCCCCTAACAACAAGCGGGCAGCAGGGCTCCTTAATCATTTCCTAGGAAAAGTACGTAACTCAGTACCTGTAAAGCTGTGTGCTCCTTTTGAAGACACTGTATTTTACTTTGTTCCTGGCAAACCCTGTTTAGGGACTCATCCTCCAGTTCACCAATTTTGGTTTTCACACTCTCCATAATTTGTTCCAAATCATTAGCTCGCTCCTCCTGATCAGCCGCACGCTTTTGTTCCAGCTGAAGGTCATTTCTAATTTAAAAGACACACATTCTCCCTTTAGTACTATAAACAAATCATGCGCCTCTCGTAACATAATACCTTCCTAATATTTTACCTTATTCTTAACATGTCTTATCACACAAGCTAATAAGACAAACATGGTACTGGCAGATAGCTAAGCTAAACTATCGTCAAAAGATTAAGAATACTTTGTAAAATGTAATCCAAATTTAAAATGAAATTTCAAGATCCTTTTTAATAAAGTTATTTTTAGAATGCATGCCATTTGCATATAGACAACTGCAAAGCAAATTTTCCCCTGTCTCTTACTTAAGCTGCTGATTCGCTTCTATGAGCTCCTGGATCACGTTCTGTTGGCGTGCTGTGTCTCCCATCAGTGTTTTAAAGTTCGCTCTCATGCTTTGTGATGACTGTTTGTCAAAAATGATAAGATCTGTAAGAGTTTTAAAAATAATAATAGAGCTAATCAAAACCAAGGTCAATTTTTTAAATTAAGATTTAAAAATGTAAATATCATTATCAATAGTAATGCAGCTATATGTCTAGAGTTGGAGAAATCTAAAGGATGATCTCAAGAGATGTGACATGTCAATGAAATGCAAGGCTTGCTACCAGAGATTATAGAATTGTGGGTTTAAAGTATTAATGCAGATAGAAATCAAGGAAATAAAACTATCATTGCTGTTATAGTAAAGTGGATGAAGGGGGAGGTGTGCGTAGGAGAGACCATGGATCTGGTGTACTGTTTTCTTGAAGCATTAATATTCATCCTTTACTGTTGGGAACACTTGCAAAGCTCTGTCATTCGAATTTTAAAATGCTTTTGAGGAGGGCTTCACACTGTCTGCTCTGAAATGAGACCTTGCTACTCTTATTTGGAAACCGTCAGCATGAGACAGGAACTAACCATCAGTAAGATCTGCTTTTACAAAAATATAAAGTTATTGGAAACCCCCCCCCCAAAAAAAAAGATTTAAAGATGTTTAAAAAGAAAAAGCACTCAGCATAATGTTCTCCAGTCCCTCCCTAGTTAGGTAATAATTTACAGAATTGTTGCTTCTGTGTGCTGTGTAGTATTCCATTGTGTGCATGCACCATCATTTCTCAATCCATTCGTTTGTGGTTGGACATATTATGCTGACTCAGTCTCACAAGGCCAAATATTGTATGAAACCATTACTGTGGAATGAGTATAAGGATCCAAGGTGGGGAGGAGGCTGGAAGCAGAGGGATGTGGATGTGCAGGGAGTGGGGGAGATTAATTATGGGGTTGTACAATTTGATGGGTAGGAGGCGGTGAGGGAAATTGGAAGAATCTGTTCTCAAAAACAATGTATTTGAATTTTGTAAATAAACTAGTATAAAATGAACTTTTTTAAAAAAAAGAAAAGGCAGCTTTTTGCCTTAAGAGGCAAGAATAGGATGGTATTACCTTTGAGGTCTGCTCTCCTGACAATGGTCAGAGGGTTTAAGCCATGTGTCTGCAGCAGTAAATTGATGCTTTCCCATTCTGCTTCTTCTTGCTACAATCACAGAGAAAAAGGAGGAAGATGCAAAGTGAAGAATACATTCTTATATACAACATTCACTCTGTTTTCAGAAAACATTTGCTTTTAAAAGTACCTAAAATATATGAGTTTTCTTTATTATTATTATTATTATCCTTTCTAAATAAAAATTTACAGAGACTTTGGATTTCCATTCATTCATTGTTGCACTTTTCTCCCTGCTCACCCCTCCTCCCCAAGTTTGCTCTTCTCTTTGAAAAGTAAAAGAAAAATTCTTTCATTGTTATACAATCCCTCCCCCCAAGTCCACTCCAATATGCAGCCTTCATTCTGGACTCCTGTCATGACAATAATACCAAATCATATATTCCTTTTAAACATTCTCTCCCTCATCTGTTTCAATGAATTATAATTTATCCCTCTTAGTCTCCCCCCAACCCCAATGTCAGACTATGTAGTAATTGTCCTTTTGTGTCTAAGAGATTATACATAGATAATGATTAAATTTGACGAATAAATATGGCCCTAACAAAATTAACAGTTGAAGGATGTAAATAAGCAAAATTCTTTGCATTATACAACCCCAGAATAATAATCTTATAGGTCTGAATGGATAACTTAAAACAAAACGCCCTTATCATTTCAGTGAACCAAACAGATCTAAGATTTTAGATTTAGCTGAACAAGAGCAGATCCCACAGAGAAGAAATAGCTTTAGTAGCTGCACTGCAATCCTGAAGGCAGGCAGTTCGAATCCACCAGCTGTTCTGCGGGAGAAAGACGGACAATCTCCTCTTGTGTGATTCACTGCTCTGAGAACCCGGTGGAGGGTCAGCTATGGGTCTGTTCCGACTTGATGGTACACAACAACAACAACATTAATAGTATAGAACCGTAAATCACCCTGAAATTAATGTCGCTTTAAAGACTAAGGTCACACCCACAAAAAAGAAAAATATCAAGACATGTGCTGGTCGGGGCCAATGAATTGAGAGAGCTCCTTGTATAATGGAGAAGGTCTAACCATTGATAAGAGCCTGGCCATGTGGGTAATAGATTCTACCATAATCCCCCTGAAGACATTCTCAAGTTTCAGCATGTGTTCACATCTTAAATCTGGAAAGGGAATCCTAACTCTCTAAATAAAGTGAGTGAAAACACAACAATAAGAAAAAGCAACAACAACAAAAAAACACAGCAGCGAATGGGAGTAAATATAAAATAAAGGTAGAAAGAGGGATGATGAAAAAGAAATTTAAACTCATGATATTAATACTTTTATAATAGGTTTTTAATATAAATACAATTCATCCTGAAAGCTGTGTGTGAGGTACTTCATTTGCTCTTAAAGGTGTTCAAAGTTTATTTCAAAGTTTAAATGCTTGAAAAAAAAATAATTTATACATTCCTAATAAGCTTTTACCAGCTGTGTAAATGTTGTTATTGTTGTTGTTATTGACTGCCTTTGAACTTAGCATGAGTCACAGCATAGCGACCTTATGAACAAAAGTACCCTTATGAACAAAAGTACCCGAAGCCCCTCTACAACTATGACATTTATCAAAGTTCACAGAGTTTCCATTTAGGAAGTGGATGCCACTCCTTGCAAAGCTGTGTAACTAGTATGTAAATTTAGTTATTGTTTAAATGCTAATACCTTAAACCACTCCCTACATTCAAATAATCCTCAGACATTAAAAAAAAAAAAAATATCAGTACAAGAGAGACTAACAATCTTAATGATTTTCTTTATAGTACCCTGATTCAGAGTATCAAACCTTTCTTTGGGAATGCTAATACTTTTTCTTTTAGTCTTCCTACATTTCTCCTCCCTCAAACCTCCTCCCTAACCTGTATGTAAGGCATGCTGATTATAAAGCGCAGCTATGATGGGGTAGTATTAGTAAGTTCAGAATTCTCTATATATGTATCAGTTATAAAACCATAGTTATGTATTTATAAAACTGCCATCAGTTTTCTCCAGCTTGCCAAAGTAGTTACTTGCCCTTAGAATTCTTAGTTTACTTCCTTTACTCATGTAGTTTAATATGTCTGTTTATCAGGAGAGGAAATGCATCTCCCAGTACAGTGGTTACCTCTTTGAAGCTGTTTTCCCCAGTCATATGTAAATTGTAACTTCATCTGCCTGTGTACTAGGAAAAGACTTACTGAATTAGCTTTTATCTCTCCAAAACCTGTTTTTCTCAGTTACATGTTAACTAGTTTATAGGCTGTCTGTTTACTGGTATCTGTGTGTGAATGATTGTTGTTTTTTTTCAAATGTAGAAAAAAATTCTTTGTATTGTTAAGTGAGTTGGTGACTCACCCTAGTATAAAAGCCTAATGACCACTCCCAGACCCAGATGCGGAGGCAGTCTTTGAGTGGAACTCCCTGTCCTCCCAGAGCTGTAATAAAGTGCTTGTGGATACTGCAATGCCTCTGTCTTATTGGCAATTGACTACAGACAGAAGCCTTTGCATTCAGTAACAATATAAGGGTATACAGAACTAACAGTGTCTATTTTAGGAGCCAAAATCTCAGTATGGGTCTCTAAACAGACGTCCTCTGTGGCTTGTTAAAAAAAAAAAACCAAACAAAAAAACAAAACAAACCACTCTGTAAAGAATAAGTTCCCAGATTTTGAATTATCAGATTACACATACTGTTATCTGATACCCATGGTACATTAAAATTACTTACGAATGTTGAAAATAGCTGGGAATGACATTTTCCAATGTATGTGCTATGGAACACCTATGCAATAAGACGTTCATCAGACAGGTGTTAAGTGACTAAGTGCTCTCTAGTTGATTTTTTTCTTGAGCCAATTTCATGTAATGGAATAGAATTGCCCTGTCGGTTTTTCTGAGCTGGAATCTTTATGAAGACCACCACTGGCCTTCATCCTCCAGCCAATCCCGTCACTGTATGCATCACCCCGCTAAAACCATCTTCCTTCTAGAAATGGACTCTGTTATCAAGTTTCAAAGGAATGAAACAGTTTCTTGGTCTCTGAACTTGTATTATCCAAAATCTTTTACCAAAAATGCTCCCCAAGTAAGACTGTTCACATGGTGCAGAACTAGTATCACTTAGTACGAATAACGGAAATCACTGACTTCAAGGATTTCAAATTTACCTGTTTTTCAATCATAAATCTGTCTGAGGATCCGCTGGACTCCTGGGCTTCAGACATTGTTTCTCATGCAACATCAAAAGAAGATGAAGTTGGTGTTAAATGTTTGAATTGCTTAAAAAAAAAGTACAATAAGAGTTATAGGATATTACGCTTAAAAGAATTCACCACTTGGAAACTGTGCAACAATGAATGAATATTTTTTAAGGGAAAAGCGAACTGAGGGGTAAGTAAGGAGGAAAATGTGCAACAATGAATGAATGGAAATTCAAGTTTTCTGGGTGGAGCTCCCTGATTCAAACAGGCTTGGAAGCAGGAGTGACATCCACTTCTACAATAGCTTACCTCCAGAAACTCTATGAACCTGGAGAGAGGATGAAAGGCACACAAGGGTCAAGGACTTTCGTTCATAGGGTCACTATGAGTCACCTACAACTCGATGGCACCTTAACAGCAACATCATGTGTGTGTATATATATATATATACACACATATATACACACACATATATATACATATATACACATATATATAAATATATATATATATAAATAAAAGAATGTGGGTCAATTTAGGCTAACAGTCTCAAAATTTTGAGAAGTTTTAGAACTTTAGATGTCTTAGAATATAAAACATATTTTATGCTGTTCTCTTTTAGAAATAAAATACTCTGGAGTTTATGCATACAAAGAAAATCATTTAACCAGATAATCCAGAAAGTACCTGATGTTAATACGCTGCTATCTTTAGAAAGTTCCTCTTCCTGGGTCATATGGGGTTACTATCACTCAACAATGAAATATGTCAGAAATGTGGATGACACAAAAGAGGACAGAGTTCAGCCCTGTGGTTCACAGGGTTACTGTGAGTCGTGCTTGACGCAACAACAACAATCACTCCATGGCATCCAGTAACAGGACTCATTCATTCACCCGCGTTGTTGAGTCAGAATGGATTTTAGCCGGTGTTCAGATGCTGTGAATCACATGGGAGGAGGCTGCCCACCTTTTTCCCAGTGTCACTGATGGATTAGAAAAGAACTATGCCATCGTTGCTCCCCTAACACCTCCATTGTTGTGACGTGCCATCAAGTCTTCTACGGCTCACAGCCACCCTGTGAACAGGTCTGAACGCTGCCCTACCCTTTGCCACTCTCACAATCTCTGACATGCATGTTGGAGCTACTATCAGTGTCACCACGCCAGTTCAACTTGCTCAAAGTCTTCCTCACTTTCTCAAACCTTCCATCTCTCCCAGCATGATTCGCCCCCCACCCCCCAAAAAAACCTGACCTATCCTTAAAAAATGCTCAAAATATGTGTGTGAGATGACTTTTCGACACCCTTGACTATGGAGCACCCTGGCTGCATCTCCTCCAAGACAGACTTCTTTGTTCTTCTGGCAGTTCATGGGGTATTCAATACTCTTCACCAACTCAAAAGCATCCTTTCTTCTTCGGTCAGTCATCCTTCTTCAAAGTTCAACTTCTGGATGCATAGGAAGTGCTGAATATACCATGGCTTGCATCAGGCCCACTTCTCTGTTTAGACTTTGGAGAGGTCCTCAACAGCAGATTTTTCCCAGTGCAACATATCTTTTGATTTTCTGAATGCTGTTTCCACACATGTTGAATTAAATCACTGACAACTTCAATCTTTGCTCCATTTATCATGTTGCCTAAGCTCTGTGAACATTTTATTATAATACTTTACCTTCTTAAACTCTCCTTTGACATCTGTTCATCTTTTATTTCAACAGTTCTTCCCTTTTGTTTTGACAGCTTTACTTTCTAGTGTCTATCAGTTTACTCTCGGGCTCTCTTCTGACATTCATTTTGCTACTTTCTTTCTTTCACATCTTTTAATGACCTTTTCCTATCTCCATGGATGATGTCCTTCATGTTATTCCATAACTTACCTGGTCTTCAGTCATTAATGTTCAAGGCATTACATCTAGTCTTGAGATAGTTTTTTAATTTAGTTGGGATAGACTCACGATTATATTTTTGTTCTCATGGACTTGCTTTCACTTTCTTCAATTTCGATCAAAAATCTGCACATGAGCAGTTGATGGTCGTTATGTTAACTGGTGATAGTAAGCTTCTTCTCCAACACCTCTTTTCACAGATGTCAGGTGAGGTCCATGTGTAAAATCACCATTTTCTAAAAAAATAGTATGTACAATGAATAAATCATTGTACAAAATTCTAGCATGTCGTCTCCAGCCTGATTTTTGTCACTAAGGCCATATTTCTTCATTCCCAATCCGATTTCTTGCACTCCAATCATCAATTATTATTAACACATAACAATGGCATGTTTGATCCATTTCAGACTGGAGAAGTTGACAGAGGTCAACTTCTATCCTCAAAGTCTTCATCTTTGTTTTTAGTGGTTGTTGTGTATATTGACAAATACACAGTTATATTAGCAGGTCTTCCTCGTATGTATATGGATGGTATTCTATCTAGACAGTTGTAAAAATAATTGAGTCTCACTCAGTCTCACACCTGGCTCATAACTGGCTGGAAGTACCAAGAGCAGAAGAATATCCTGAGCTGAGCACGAATAAGCCATCAGTAAAATCCTGTCTGTAGCAGCGGTGTAGGTCAAATAACCCAGGTTCTTTTAAGGAAAAGAAAAGGCACTAGGTTGATTAGACATTGCAATTCATTCATTAACCAATGGTAATTTGGAATCTGGAAGCAGGCATGGCATCCACTTCCTAAACAACACGCCTCTGGAAACTCTGAACTTTGAGAAATGACAATAGGGATAGAAAGGCTTCAGGTATTTTGTTCATAGGGTCTCTGTGAGTCATGCTTGACTCAACAGCAATCAACAACAACAATAGCAATACGTAATACCAATTTAAATTATAAAACGAAGTATCTATGAATGTATGAAAAATACGTTTTGTAAATCTTTACACAAATGAACAATTTTTATGAATTGAATCGGGCAAGGTTCAGAACTATTATTGTTCATAGAGTCACTAAGAGTGTTAGTCGACGCAATCACACATAACAACATAAAGGAAAAGAATAGAGAGAATCAATAGATTTTAAGTCTTAATTTTTTTTCATGAACAAAAGAAATTGGGGTAGCTAAGAATGTTGTTGTTTTTTCTGCCTCTACTATATTTCGAATTACAAACTTAATTGCCTTGTCTTTGGGCACGCACCGGGCCTAGTTCGTGCAGAGAATAGGCTGCATGTGGCCACGGCCCTTTTTGGCACAACTGTTGTTTCTCCTTTTCTTTGTCATGTTGGAAGTAAGGGTCCAAGAGAGGAATGTAATTTTTTATTAAACTTTTTAAAAAGTTTATATTGGTTTGCTTTCTTAAACTATATTACTTGCTTGTAAAAATACAAGTAAGAAAATTTACTAATAGGAGTCGGGAACCTGGGGTTTGGATGAGACAATGCAAGGAATCCTGGGTGGCAAAGTTCCATTTTTTAACACAGGGAAAATTTTATACCTTGATCTGGGTGGTACCACCATTTAGTAATTCACTAAGATAAACATTGTATTATATTTGTGCCAGTGTTTTATTATACAACAGAAAACTGCATCTTATAGTAAAAATACTTTTTTTAAAAAAAATACAATCTTTTAAATGTACGATAAATACCAACCAAAAGTTCCTCAGAAGGCTTGGGTTCAAATCACAGATGTGGCCACACAGCCAGAATTACTTGGGACTAAAGCACCTAGCTCATAAGGATACTGTGATAGTTAGGAGAGTGAAGATTAGGAAATCTTGGCCTGGATCTCATCAGGACAGAGACTGGGAGTCGGTAAGTAAGCTGAGCTATTTTAAGTAGTCACTTAATTAACCTCTCTCAAATTTGATGTCCCTAAGCTTAGTACATCTTTGTTGTACAGTTAAATAAGTTGTTTTGGGTTTGTTCTGGTTCCATTTTGTTTTTATTTACTACTATGTTTTATCTGGAGGAACACTCTTCCACTTTGTACATCACTCTCTGTCAATGTGCTATATGAAGTGACCTGGGTTTGCTTTGATGATGAACCTTGTGCCACTGGGGTATCAAATACCAGCATGGCTTCCCAATATGGACAGTGTTTGGTGCAGCTCCCAGTTGTAAAAAAGGTTTGGAAGCAGGAGCGGCATCTACTTCCTAAACCACATGCCTCTGGAAACTCTATGAACTTGGAGAAATGACAAGAGTTACGGAAAGGTGGTAGGTCTTTTGTTCATAGAGTCCCTATGAGTCACGCTTGACTGGACAGCAATCAACAACAACAATGTAGTTTACAATATGATGTCATTGCCGGATTATCATTATGTCAGGAGGAAATATATGTCATACACCTAGTACTAAAAAAAAAAAATTAAAATAAATTAGATATTTTCTCTGATTATATGTCCCAACAGCTGCAGAATATCATGTCACAGCCGACATACCTCTGGTGCGGCAGATTCCTTTCACACTTCTCACCTGCTCATCCAAGTTGATCTGGATGATGTAATCACCCAATGAGCCTCAGGTCCAAGATCTGATCTTCATCTGGGTTCCAAAGAGATAAACAGACCAAACCTTGATGTTTCCAACCTCCTAATAAGAAAGAGCTTGGGCTATGCCTAGGGCTGATATCTGTGCTTCCAAATTCTCAATTAGAAGTAAAACCTATCCCCAAAATATGCCAGCTGTTAAATATGCCTTAAAAAGAACTGAATCTATAACATATATGGAAATAGATTTAGGTCTGAATATCATCTCAGTCCGATCATAATCCCTCTAGAGCTACAGAAATGATCACACAGGTGTTTTGTCTTTTGAAATAGAAGTTGCCAGCAACTCCTCGTTTGCCTCTTCGTCCTCAAAAGGTGGGGTGAAATCTAATGGGTAATACTGAAAGGGGGTGAGGGGAACCCAAGCAAAAAAACCGATTGCAAAGGTTTCAATCCAGTATTTATAGAGCCTGCGCTGTGTTTGATAGTATTGTGGTTAGAAAAATAAAAGGGGAAGTAGATGGGTCTCTAAATTCCATTTGCTCAATCTTCTGCCTCAGTTA